AACGCAAAAGCGTACCATAAACGAAAATAACATTGTTGAGGTCACAACAAATGTGATCGCGCCAGCAGCGGAACCCACTGGTGCAGCTAAACTATCTCATGTTATTCAATGTACTGATATACCAATGCAGTGTGTTAGTTTGCCTCTCATACCCCTAGTGGCCCTAGATAACCAGGACATAACTGATGGAGTCTCTAATGTCATTCTTTCCAGTGTAATATCGGAAGCCCAAAATCAAACACCTGATTCTATTGTGAAGGCTCATAAAAACACTGCTAAACCTAAAAAGAATATACCAATTAAGAAGAAAGTAACTAAAAACCTTCTAGTTCTAAACCTAATACCAAAAATATTTCAACGGCCTTACCAAACAAAAGTATAATTTCCGAAACCATGCGTAACCCTACTCATCGCAAGGGAGGTTATGAGGACACGTTTCGTTCAAACGTTACACGAGACGGCCACTACAGCCATCATGGAAGCAGGCCTACTATTAGACAGACGGCAATGAACCAAAGTGCCTCTTGGTTTCCCCCAAATGTTATAAATAATATACCTGCAAGATGTAACTCTTATCATCACTCTCGCAATGGAGAAGATGGTATACTAGGTTATGCACCATCTACGCAACCCCAACATGCAGGCACCTGTCTTAATTGTCCACCAAAACAAGTACAACAAATTATTCAACCTTACCAAAATAAGGATATTTTTTTCGGCCTCCAGAGATCCCTTGTTCCACTAGCACTACAGTTTGCTCATGCGATCCGGCAAACACATTAAACCATAGTCCAGGCATAGCTAGAAGTCATACCATCGATAAGGATGCTCTTGGTTTTTTTACACTACACACTCCCTTTTTAAACTTATTACTTATTAACGCACGTTCACTTCTGAACAAAATCTCAGCCTTGAGAACCTTAGCCTTTCTAGCCAAGCCTTCTTTTATACTTATCACTGAAACGTGGTGTTATCCAGCAGTGGCCGATTCCGAATTAAATATCCAAAACTATCGACTCTATCGCTGTGACAGAGAAACTAAGCGGGGAGACAGTTGTCTTATATTTGCTTTGGATACCTTAACAATTAACAAAGTTGAAGATAGTATCTTGAATAGTTTACCAGAATCGATCTGGATATCAATCAATACCCTAAACCATAGTCTACTCTTAGGTTGTATATATAGAGCTCCTGATAGTACTGATAATTTGAATGATCGTATTATCAATGCATTTATACACGCATCTACTCTAAACTTCAGTGCTAAGATTATCACTGGTGATTTCAATTATCCTGGGATTAACTGGAGTACCGATAGTTGTCCGTCTAGCAATGATGAATTTTTATCAATCCTTATTCTGTACTGCTGGTCACAGTGGGTTCGTACACCAACAAGGGGTGATAATACACTTGATCTAATATTTAGTAGAGATATCATTCCCCTATCTGTACAAGTATACAATGAGTTTGCAAGCAGTGATCATAAGATAGTAGCTTGTGCTCTCCCCATCTATCCCTCCTACAACCGACCAATTCAAAGAACCTGCAATTATAGAGACTATAAGCATGCAGACTGGGACCTCTTGCGCTCACTGATCAAACTCTCAGACTGGGATGAATTCTTCTCATCTAATAGTCTCACAGATGCCATCAATATATTCTATTTCATTGTTAACTCTTGTCTAGACTCCTGTGCACCAATTAAGACTTACAGGATTAGTAAACATTATGAATTATATATACCAGCTAAATATCGTAATAAACTAAGACGCTTAAAGAAACGTTATTTTAAATCTAACGACTTCACGGCAGTCACATAAATAACAATAATTTTTAACCAAATTAAAGAGAAACATAGGTTAAAAACCATTAATGAAGAGCTATTAGCACTACGTACTAGCTCAAAAGTGCAAAACCTAATCCACATTTACAATAAACGTGCTAAATCAGCTCAAAATGTTAATATACCATGCATCCTGCATAATAATAGTTTTATATATGACCCAAAAAACTAGCAGACCTTTTCAGTGGTAATTTTGCAAATGGCGAAGAATCCATAAATGGCTCTGTTTCTAGAGTTATATGCATGACTGGTCACTCAATTAAATCTATCTCCTTCACATGTCTGAGAATTAGCAAGGTTATAAATAAGCTCAAGGTTTCGAAAGGTCACGGTGCAGACAGGATTTCATCATTTCTCTACAAATATGGTGGTCCAGATATTCCACTTCTTCTCCTTAAGCTGTTTACTCTCTCTATGGAATCAGGCTTTTATCCTGACCGTTGGAAAACCGCGTACATCATACCACGTTACAAATCCGGAGATAAGACTGACATGAACAACTATCGGCCAATAAATATTACTGCAGTTATCTCTAGGATCATGGAAAAAATTATTAGTGACGAACTATCCAACTATTTATTGACTGAACAACTTATTCATGATTCGCAACATGGATTTCTTAAAAATCCATCCTGTATGACATATCATTTTGACTTCTTTAATTTAGTCTATTCGCTTCGCAGCCAAGGATATCTAGTATTAGTGCTATACCTGGACATTTCTAAGGCCTTCGACATGGTCAACCACCAACTTCTCATAGGTAAACTCGCATCTTATGGGGTCGAAAACCCGTTACTAGCCTGGTTTGATTCCTTCCTCAGCAATCGAAATCAAATAGTTAAAATCAACTCTTCATTGTCGAACGCAGTCCCTGTTAAAAGTGGGGTAATTCAGGGTAGTGTCTTAGGTCCTTTGCTCTTTTTAGTTTTCATTAATGATATTTGTGAGTGTTTAAGTGAGGGTAAGTCCCTTTTGTATGCAGACGATCTTAAGGTGGTGTACTCATTTTTTCCACATGAGCTGAGCAATATTCAAAATTGTATCAGCACGGAGCTTAACAAGGTAGCACAGTGGTGCTCGAAATGGCAACTGGAGCTTAATACAGCTAAATGTGGATGGTTATGCTTTGGTGATACATCACTCAACCTCGATCTTACCATAAATGGTGAAATGTTATCTAGGTTACACACAGTAGTAGATCTAGGACTTAGGTACTCCGACGACTTGTCGTTTACTGAACAGATAATGAAACAAACGTCCAAGTCTCAACGCCTTATAGGTTTCATAACTCGAAACCTTCATAACAGCGAATCTCGTATTCTAATGTACAAAGTCCACACACAAATAAATGAAATGATGAATTCTATTGACGATACTATTCTCGCTCATATTAGAAGCCAGACAATTTTTACTATTATTATTATTATTACCATTAATATGATTATTATTGTTATCATTATTATTATTACTATTATTATTGTTTACTACGTCGCTTTTTCACCCCTTTTATCCCCAATTTGTGTAACCTTACTTTTCAACTTATACAGCAGCTCGCTCTTGGTGGAAAATCTGTCCTATCTAAACGATCTTCAGTCATTGTCTGGTTGAATGTGAATGCTTCCACCGATAATGAATACTGAGGCAGTCTTTCTGAAACCACGTACGCCGTTCAAGCTGGCTTACTTCAACGTTCGCACACTAATGCAGATCGGACAACAGATAGGGCTGGCTATGTCTTTGGAAGGTCTTAATGTTGATGTTTGTTGTCTATCCGAGACCCGTATTCAAGACTCTAGTGAAGTACTACAAACCAAGAGGCACTTTGGTTCATTGCCGTCTGTCTAATAGTAGGCCTGCTTCCATGATGGCTGTAGTGGCCGTCTCGTGTAACGTTTGAACGAAACGTGTCCTCATAACCTCCCTTGCGATGAGTAGGGTTACGCATGGTTTCGGAAATTATACTTTTGTTTGGTAAGGCCGTTGAAATATTTTTGGTATTAGGTTTAGAACTAGAAGGTTTTTAGTTACTTTCTTCTTAATTGGTATATTCTTTTTAGGTTTAGCAGTGTTTTTATGAGCCTTCACAATAGAATCAGGTGTTTGATTTTGGGCTTCCGATATTACACTGGAAAGAATGACATTAGAGACTCCATCAGTTATGTCCTGGTTATCTAGGGCCACTAGGGGTATGAGAGGCAAACTAACACACTGCATTGGTATATCAGTACATTGAATAACATGAGATAGTTTAGCTGCACCAGTGGGTTCCGCTGCTGGCGCGATCACATTTGTTGTGACCTCAACAATGTTATTTTCGTTTATGGTACGCTTTTGCGTTAATCTTTGATTGGTGGTTTTGTCTGAGACTATACGAGCGTTTTTAAACTTCGTATGCGCACAGACTAGCTGTTCAGATTCTTTCAAACGTTCCGCTAATAAATGGGAATCGAATCTGAACAGGATAGGGCACGAGTATTTTTGATGCTTTTTGTTAAGTCGGATACATTGGCATGGACTGTCCTGGAGGTTAGCTGCCTTTAGTATCGAGTTTTTTACAGTTTTAATGGCAGCTTTGTCAGGTATATTATATATAATCACGTTATTTCGTGAGATTATTCGCTTGGTTACTTCACTAGCTATCGAGTCAATAACGGATTCTACTTTGATCCTGTCTTCGAGTTCAGAAGTAACTATATCCTTTAACAACAGCAGTCGAAGGGGTGACAGTGTCTTTAGTTCTAGTTTAAGATCATCATGCTTGAATAAAGAGCCCGCAAGTTACTCCACTTTAGAACGCATATCACTTAATTGCTTATAGACAGCGGCTAATTCGCTCTTAATAAGGTCGATACCATCTGTTCGTGAGTTAGAACTTATTATTAAGTTAGACATAGAGTCATCCAGCAACATGTGTGGAATAAGTCCACTCTCACTATTATCTAGTGCAACAGGAGTAGCAGAGCATGGGGTGTAGGTAAGACCAGAGTTGTTAATATCTGAAGAAATAAGACTTTTTCGAGCGCGTTTTAGTGTCAGTCGAACCATTTTTCTTCAAGGGTTAAATGAATGTTATTATTGATTTATAAACTAGGGCTTAACGATATATAAGCACTTTATAATAAATACCGTGTCAGCGTAACGCAAATTTCAAACGTACCGCAGAATAGGTTGTAACGTTTTGAATGTTGTATAGATGTCTTTGAGTAATCACTTTCGGAGTAGCTAAACACACGAGGTTGAGGTTAGGTTTATGGTAATGGGCAAATTGATCTTGAGTTTATAACGAATAAGAGTCATGCAGTACATAATATAAGTCTACTGAGTTTTACAAATTATTAGGACATAACAAAGACGACAACGATTCCCTTTATGAGATTAACGTGACAACAATTCATATATTTGAATGTAGCCTTGTTAGTTTATTTTATATTTTATTTGAACACATACATATTGGTACAAATATATATTCGCCATATGATTGTGTGAGGTCTATGATATTGTCCGGGTGCCCAAAATGAAGCAGGTGGTTTTCTTAGGAAGCCACACCCAGAGCCTTTGACCTGAAGGTCTGATCAAGCAGACAGTGTGGCATCGTGGAGAACTGTATTCCAATGGTAGCCGGTGACCAACGATTAGTTCATACAGTATTTGTTCCCTCAGGATCCTGGAGCCCATGTGCACCATTGGTTTGGAATCAGGGTTTCCAAACTTCCCTAGATGAACTTATAAGTTCCAAACTAGGTTTGGCTGAAGAATAACTGTCTGGTAAGAGAAGAGACGCGTGTCTGCCAATCGAAGTCAGAACAAGGTGATTGGGGTAACAGCGGTTCTAAATTCTATCATAAATACAAATATATGACTTCACCTAAACAAATATTACCACTCAGTTATTCAACCAATAATTGTTGTCACAATAATCGATCTAAATTACAATAAATAGATAAATTGATAAGAAATATAAGAAAATTGCTGAAAGCACCAAAAATAAGTATTATTCTATCCTTCCTGGATAGATCAAGTGTTTTCGATTCTGGGAATGTGTTTCAATTCACAACCAAAATGTACGATCCCGGTCAAATCCAGCAACAAAATGAAAGAGAGAACGATCAATATGGCTGCCGTCAAGATACAATATCAACTAAAACAACATAGATACAGTTCAAGAAGAAACATATCAACTCAGTGAGAGCGAAAGAGAAAATGCTAAAGTTGTTATGAAATGAAACATTACAATCTCAAATGGCATCAAAAAGGTCAACAATAATGAACAACTAAGGAAACTATTAAGAACAAATTGTAAATGAATGGGGTTTTCACACACGAAACCTTCAAAATGGATCTCATGGGACTCAGTATGTCAACCGATAGCCTTGTTAGAAAATCATACATAACAAAAAACTCTGAGTATGTATTCTTAAATCCACACGACATGTCTGTTTTTAAAAGAAGATGATTATCAGTAAGAATGAATCGTACTTGAATATTACTGAGATTTAAGAAGAGTTTCAGTCTCGTTATTTTTATATTTTAGTGTATTAAGATGTGCTCACATGTAGTAGATCGATTCAGTATCCGGCGGTAGATTCAAAAACTATTAATATTTAAGATCGCGAATGACAACATATTCCTCTCTCTCTTATTCATGACACTAAATAAAATTCAGATGATAAGTCTTGTTGAATGATGGACGTTCAGTCAGAAAATCTACTCCCTTCTCCATGAACTCTTTGACTGTGATTTCGATATGAATCTTACCAGCAATGTTTAGAATTACCCCAGATGCACTATGCGATGATTGATGAGTTGAATATATATTCTTGGTTTCTCAATTTTCTCCCACGTCCATCTGCTTATAAGTGTTATATCGGAGGTTGTAAGCGAGCATCATACTCATTAATCTTGAGGGAAACATACTTCCTATGATTATGGGAGCCGATTTTGTTAACAGCTACAGTCACTTTGACTGTACGTGGCTTGAATCTTCTAGAATAAACTTTAGTTATAATCGAACGCTGATTGAATAAAATGCTTCCTAATGTTTCTTTGAGCTTGTCATGTCTATTGCAAGAAATTTGCAGGATCATCCCAACAGCAAGTATAAAAACATTTGATTATTTCTTGTTTCATTTCAGGTTCACGTTTATTGGTCCCTATAATATGTGCTACAATCTTAATGATTGCATTAATCTGTATCTTCATTATATGTTGTTATTCACAAAGAAAACGTCGTCAACTCCTTATGAAATATGCAACAACAACAACAATAGCGCCTAATAATGAACTATCATCAAATTTAATTTAAAATTTATCAGACAGTAATAATCATTCAATGAATGTAACTAATCCAATTAATATAACATCGATTCATCAAAATTACCCTTCATATCATGATAATGATAATATCACCAGTAATATTCCACAAGGAGTCTGTACAGTCAATACAAATCAAGTAAATATGAATCAATACAGTGGACCAGTTATGATTTAAGTAGTCTATGTGAAATTAATAAAAAATATGATATTGACATTCTACAACTATTATTGAAAGAAAAGAAATTGATAGAAGAACATTCATCTAAATTAGATGGAATAGTTTCACACTATTACGGTGACGAATTGATGAAAGACATTAAATAAGAAGGAGAAGAATGTATTTGTGAAATCTTAACGACGACTGAATTTGAAGTAATTCCAAGGAACAAGCATTGATCAGATTGTTAGGGCGAAAAGTTGAAGTCACTTCAGATTCATTCGTTGAGATTTTACAAATATATTCTTCTTTTTCATAGTTGAAAGCATGAATCAATTGAAGCTAGATCACGGAGGAAAACCTTGGAAGCACTGGACGACCGTTTTGTATCATTATGGAACTCCTCAGTAGTGCGAATCCAAGACATTGCCTCGCGAGATTAGAACCCACAATAGAACGAAACGGCCGTTTAGTGCTTTCAGGTTTTCCTAAATGGTCTAGCTTCAATTGACTCATGCTTTCAACTATGAAAATAATAAATCAACACAAAACCCCTTGTGATTGTTCTTCCCATTGAAAAGAAATTTAATTTTTGAACTGTAAATATTTTCATAGGAATTTATTGTAATTAAAACGACATTCGAGAACAGGATTAACAAGAGATTGAAGATTTGTTAACCGATTCAAGTTTGAAAATTTCATTATGAACTGTTACTTACTTACTCACGCCTGTTACGCCCAATGGAGCATAGACTGCTGACCATCATTCTCCAACCCACTCTGTCTTGGACCTTCTTTTCTACTTCTATCCAATTTTTGTTCATTCTTCTCATGTCTGCCTCCAGTTCTCGGCATAGATTGATGCCAACATTGTAAATATTATTTTACAACGTGAACCTTTCTTTCTTTTTTCGTTTTGAATTCTCTAACAAATTACCATTGTAGTAAAAAAGAAGATAATTAATCAATATCAGTCATCTTTGATTTGAAAGAAGACGTTGTTAATTAATCAAATATGACGTGGGACAGACACGGCGTATTGGTCGGTATTCGATATTATCCTTAAACTTCGTGTACTGTTCACTTTAATAACTGTTACTAGATAACAACCCAACGGAGCATAAATCAGAAGGTGAATACAAAGTGTTGATTGCGTTTATCGTTGAAACACACACAGATATCTAAAACCGCAGGTACGTTAAGCAAGAATGAAAGAGAAGTGCTGAAAAGCAAGCAAGTGAGCGAGAAGGTGATCGAGTCCATGAACGAGTGTGGAAATGAATGAAACATTGAATCAAATAAGCGACTAATAGAAAGGCTAGCAGGATGAATATATGCGTAGACAGTAAGCAATGCTCAACCATACATATTCATAAAAGTGCAACAATAATAAATGTACAATAGCACAGAGAGGTTGTTACTGTACGAGTGACTCTATCCGTTAATTAAGCGAACAAAAGGGCTTAACCAATTTAAATATGAACAAACTCAATCGTACGTGAGCTGCTGTTACGGCATAAATGTACGTTGATTCCACTTGTTACAACCAACACAGTAAAAAGAGGTGAAATAAATAAAATACATAATGTACAAGTTCAATGGTGGTCTATGATGGTGGAAAAAGATAAGGCAGAGAATATGATTGAATTTTGAACATAAGCAATATGTAGTATTGTGTATGTCCGGGTCAGTGGTCGATTTTGATTCATGTTACCCAAGATTTTCAGTCATTGTGGACTACAACTGGATAGTTTAAAAACAACCAGTGAGTGGTATCATGAAATGATACCATGTCTTGGTTTGGGTACCCTTTGCGACTGCATCATATGGACGTAAAAGTACGAAGTAAATGAACTGAGCATATTATTTGGTATAATCTTAGTTACCCCGTTTCATTTTCAACTATATGTTCTACGTAGGTATCATTACCAAGTTTTAATTTGATAATTTTGAATAAATTGAGCATTGGGTAGATTGTTATAAATAAATAATATATTTGTAATATCCCAATGAGTAGAAAAATTAGACTTTCTGACGTTTCGTGACTCAGTGTAAGCCACTTCTTTAGAGAATACATAACCAAATTCATTTGGTTATTTGGTTGTGTATTCTGTAAAGAAGTGGCTTACACTGAGTCACAAAACATCAGAAAATCTTATTGTCCTACTCATTGGAATATTACAAATATATTATTTATTTATATGTTCTACGGCTTAAATGTATCCGCCTGTATGTTTAAGTTAGATTTATAGTGTTACAATCTCATCACTCTGAGAATGACTGGTCAGACATACTTATACTGTAGTTAGTTAATCGATAATATGTCTATATTTTGTCTGATGAGTACCTATGCTTAGTGAATGCCCATCCTACAAAAAGCAGCCGATTGAAAGTATATGTATCTGTTGATTGTTGTGAGCACTTATGAAAGTACCCATGCAGTGATAACAAATTTAAGACACTGGCCATCTAGTCGAAAACAACAATAAAGGAAAACTAATGTAATGAGACAGTGGACTCAAAATGACTTATGAACAAGTTGAAATAGCCAGTCAAGATTCTTAAGCGTTGAAAAACTAATAACATTTGAATACTTTTCTACTGATGAGTTCTACAGGTTGCATGTATTGTGTTAAATAAATTATTATTGACTTACTACCTGGTTCTCTATTGTCGGTCGGATAATGTATATGTGAATTACGTGATCCGATTTGTTAATCGTATAAGTACCCATGTTTTTTCTGTGCGTTTTCAATTCTTATCCAATAACCATTTCCCCTGCTTCTTCCATCTTCTGATTTAACGGCCGTGGATTTCTACACGTTCAAGTGCCGTAAGTTGTACGTCGTATTCTGCCGAAATCAAGTAGAGGACATTGTAGTACCGTGCTTCGCTAATCTTTCACCTCGATAACAGTTATAATACAAAAGTTAACGGTGCATAAAATTAGAAGGCAGAGAGAAGCATTATAAGCAAGTTAGCCCAGCATTCCACAGAAATCAGGGTGGCATGTATAACATATGGCAGTTAGCTTTTGCATTTTAAAGGAAAGTTTGCAAAAAATTGCAGTCGCTTAAAGCTATAATTATTTTCCAAGCTGAAATATGGCTTAGGCCACATAAGCTAAGGCAAGTGGTTTTCTGTGACGACACTAAGAGAGCTTTTAGCAAAACCTTTCCATCCAGAAAACAATGAAGAAACCTCAGTAGACTCAGTCTTATGGTATCTGGTGACCAAAAAAGAATCATGCATTTGTTTCCTGAAAATGTTGAAATTCATATAGACCATTAATTTCAAACCAGTTTCTTACAAATCCTGTGGATGAACTTTCCGCGGTCACTAACGCAATTTAAGAGTGAAACAACTGATTTCTTCTTATCTTTGCTTAGTAGTAATGCATTCCTTGAGGATGCCATAAACGAGCAGCTAGATACGAACCATTTGATTGGAAGAGTGGAGACTCTTTCCACCATCAATTGAATCAGAGTTGTAGAGGACGGAGTCTAAATATTTCGGATCTGGAATACTTCAAAATCAAGAAACTTATTTAAGTTTCTTATCTTTACGTCAGACCTCAAGTGTGAACAGCAACGATAAACACCTGGCTAATCAAACATATGCGACACAATTGTCGAAAATCTGACTCTGTAACCGGTACGTCAATGAGGTATTTGAGGTTATTTAGGCAAGCAACTTCCAATCACTCGATCGACAGTTCAAACCCATCTTCCTTTAGACGATAAAAATGGAATACTTGAAAGATGCAGACTGTATCAATTGTTCACTTTTTGGTACATCGAAAGTAGATTCAGATTTCAATTGGTTAAAGTAATAAAATTTTTCGGTACTCCGACTAATCTCTTCAGTCCAATTATTTGTAAGCAAACGAAAACAAGTGAAAATGTGAAGTTTCATTAATAATTGAACAATAACTAAACAAAACATGACGATGCTACTACTTAGATCGTGAATGAAGTCACTTAATATAAAACAAAAAATGATCGCAGTTCAAGATGATGCATAATTCTTTATAAATAAGTTAGAACCCATTTAAATAGTACAAAGGAAATAAGCAAGAATATTAGATGCTTTGCTCATTTGTACTATTTAAACGGGATAATTTGAATTTGGTTATTTATTCTCTGAAGAATTGGCTTACACAGAGTCACGAAACGTCAGGAAATCTAATGTTTCTACTCATTGGGATATTACAAATATTATTTGTTCCCTACAGTGTTCTGTCGGTCAGTCCCATTTCCTGGGTTGAAAGTAAATAATGGTCCTGCTCGAACTAGAGCATGATCCGAGTGTAAACATGTGCTCCAGAACGAGTTACAGTTTTCAATAGACCGCCTTCAACAATGAATGAACGATCTTGTATGTACGTTTGATGGCGCGGAATTCCAGAATCCTAGTTAAGGTAGCCTGTTTTCATATCTGATACCAGATTCCAACACTATAAGCTCCAGCATGTAGTTTGGAGCGTGGTTTCAGGAGACAGAAAATAACATTTCGTGAACTCAAATAATTAGCATTGGAAGTGCGTGATGATAAAGATAAATGTGAAAGGTTAGTCCTGGAGGTGGAAGAATTATTGATACGTGAGGCAGGGTTTCGACCAGCAACAAGATAATCTTTGGTGCTCATAAAGGTATGTGGGCCGTTGTCACTTCCCGATAGCTGTGTAATTGCTGGTGGTGGAGTGAGTGATGAGATCAATTCACACATATTGAAAGCCAGAGAGGTTTGGGACATCTTTGGCATCTTCGTGGTGTTGGGCAGACTGCAAAAGATCGTATCTTCAACGCGTTGGTGAGTGCAGTTTTACTATGTGTTTGTGAAACATGGACTATCCGAGCTCAGTATGTTAGACGACAATATGTGTTTGATCATCGTCGTTTTCGAAAGATTGCT